CTCATTATAAAAGTAATTCAAGATCAAAAGATAAAATATAAAAAGTGAGTGAATGTAGTAAGAAGAAAATTAACATACTACATATTTGCAACCTGTAAGCATTTTGTTGGGCCTCTCTCTCTCTGACTTGTACATACACTCATGTGTCCTCAAAGGACAATACCATCCCTTTAAGTGTTGACAGCAGCTCAGACCTGAAATATATTTTCTCATCAGGTAAAGATTAGTTCCTGGCAAATCTATTAATTCATTAATTAATAAAAATCTCAGTAATGTCAGTGAGGGCCTGTGAAGCCCCATTTTTCTCTTCGTTTTACTATTTAAGGTAATAAATGTAATAATAGCTAATATTTATTCATAACTTACTATATGCAGGGCATTGGTACAATCCCTTTACACATATTAACTTATTTTATCCTCATGACTAATCTAAATGGCAGGTACTATAGGTCCAAATCCCTTACCTACAATTCTACAGCCCCAAAATCTTTAAAAATGAGAATGTTTTGGTAAATTTGGTACAAACTCCTTTGGCAGCAAAACTTTATCTGATCTGACATGAGGCTTTTGGTGGTCTTTGTTTATGCCACTTATGAAAAGTTAAGCTTCACTGAAAAAAAGAAAGTTTTTGATTATAGGGGATTGTCCCAGAACCTCCTGAAGGTTTTATGTATTAGACACTATGCATACTTTATTACCTTTATAAAATGTCAAAGATTCTACATACTAAATCATATTCCAATCCAAAGATTTCAAGTTTATAATTGTGAATGTGCATTATTATCCTCACTTTATAGATGAAAAAACTGAAGCATTAAGGAATTTGCCCAAGGTAGGTCAAGATTCTAACCCAGGCTGAGTAGCTTTAAAAGTCTTCACATTGGTATAGTTCTCAAAAGCTTATACAGCCCTTTCCAGCAACTGGCTTTGAAAGTTATACTTAAGATATTTATTTTACTCTATTACATAGTCAAGCCAGTGAATTTAGGGAAGTTATATGACTTGCCCAAGGTCTCATAACTAATGCAGCAGAATTAGGACTCAACTGCAAGTCTTCTGGTTCTAATCCTAGTGCCCCATTGCTGTCCTGGGATTACGCGGACAGTCACCAAACTCACATCATAACATACTGTTATATTCACTTATGTCAAGATGGTTACTCAGGCAGTCTGCACACAAACCGTTCTACCTCATTCAAGCCACCAATGACCAGAAATTGTGTGAGAAAGCTCAGAGCTGTCAAAAGTAACTGCACTACACATTACCCCAGGGCTCCACGCCAGAAGCCCACGTCACTGCCCCAGACCCCTGGGGCTCCTGGAAGGCTACAGTTTTGTGGCCTGCGCATGTGCAGTACAATCTTCCCGCTGGCTTACCTTGGTCTTTCCTATGGATAGCATTTGGGCCATTGGAGAGTCATTATTGCACATAAATGTTACATCAGACCTACCTATTTCAAGAACCCAGACCTGCTAGAGAAGGTTGACAGAATTCTTCAGAGCGATTTCATGAAGGTGGGATGTTCTCTCTCCAAACTGGATGTTGGATGGCTACTTACTCTGAGCAAGATAAAGCTGGAGCATATTATCTATGTTAAAATACAAAACTCTACCTGCACTAAAGTGTTGCCTGAAGTCAGGAGCTCTCACCTGACTGCATATGGAATCACCTAGGACTTTTAAAAAACTAATTGAGTCTAAATCTGGGGGTAGGGTTCAGGCTTTGTTCTCTAGGGCTTGCTATTATTTTCTTTATTATTTTTATTATTATTTGATATTAATGGCTTGGAATGCTTGAGTAGAAAAAATATTCTATTTAATTAATCAAGATTTATTTCATGCCTAAAATGTATCAAGAATTGTACAAAACACAACACAAAGAGAAATCAGAACCAGTGTGTGAACAAAGGAAACCATATACACCAAATTACCTGCTATGTGCTACCTTTACATATATTATCTCATTAAATATTCCCTCTCATCCCACGAAGGGGTTATTGCCATCCATGTTTACAGATGAGGAAACTGAGGTTTGGAGAAGTTATTCCCAAAGTCTCACAGCTCCAGTGTGGGAGAGCGTGGCTTAAACTCGGGCTCCCACTGCTTCCAGGTTTGAGCTCCTTCCACTCTCTCACCATTGAGTACCTGATATGTCGGCACTGGGCATAGCCATTCTTCTCTCAAGAAATTTACAGGTAAGAAGAAGGAACGATTTGTGCTGAGTGGGGAAAAATCAGAGAAGGCTTTTTGAAAGAAATGAAAGTCCTGTTGGGACTTGGAAAGTGAAAAGGATTTCACCGGGTGGGAAATGGGAGGGTAAGAACACTTCTGGAGAAGGAAACCAATAGTAGCAAAAACGAGAGGACAATGGCATACTCAGATGATTTGGGATGGGTACATATTGTACATTTGGCTACATCAGCTTTGTTCCTCATCTCTTGCATCACGCTCTTAAGATAGACTCCCTTTCTCTGAAATACGCCTGCAGGGATTGGAAAGTACTCTCTGTAACATTCTCCACTCCAACTGTCTTCTTATCAACAGCAAAAATCTCTTATGCATTCTGAGCCACTGTCCTATTGATATCCCTGGGAATTTTACATGTCAGTCAAATGCCAAATGTGCAATAGGGAGCTCCAGCACAGACAAGGGTGCTTCTGTCTCCCCGTGCATGTTAGACACAGCATGTGCGTGTGTGTGTGTGTGTGTGTGTGTGTGTGCGCACATGCAAGCAAACACACACACACACACCCACACACACACACACACAACAACAACGAGGAACAGACTAAAGAATTCTGTTGGGCCCAGCTCTTGCTCTTCAAATACTATTGAGGAGGCTTGGTTCATTTTTCTTTGCTAACCAGACTCCAAGTCCCATCTGCTCCTTGCAAAGCAGCAAGGTCAATGCCAATTTCCCTTTCATCATCCACGTCTGTGGCTGAGCTGTCTGCGGTGGCAGAAACGAATGTTCTCCATAGCTCCCAGCTCCGGGGTGGCCACTTCCAGCCTGCCTACAAAATGCAATTGCGCCACATTACAGCCAAGCAAAATACACACTGCTGTGTCAGTGTCCTTTGCATGGCAAGTCCATAGAAGGAGAGAGCCTCCTTTGGAGGAAGCTATTCCACCACCCAAGGTCTGCTTGAGCCTGTTGAGAATTGCAGCTCAAAAAAAAAAAAAATCTAACATATGTAATATGAACTCTGTGGTTTCCCCTGGTGCTTGGCATAGCTGAGGCTGTCACATTTCTGGTCTCCAGTTCTACAGAAACAAAAAGACCATATATGTTAATCATGCTGGCCCAGAGATTAGATCAAAATTCTGATTGGAGAATGAGGTTAATCATGAGTTCATCACACGGTGACCTTTGCAGGCAGGGCTGCTGCAACCCAATGAGGTTGCTATTGTGCAAAGACCAGATTCAGAAGGAGCCCTGTAGGTTTCTGCAGCTCCAACAGTCTGGATTCCAAGGGGAGGAGGCACCAAGCTCCAGGCTGGTGCCTGCAAGTAAATGGGGGTGGGGTGGGGAATGTTACAGGAAGTGAGGTTTATAAACTCAGTCTTCATAGAACGTCCTTGGGTCAATGAAATATAGTAATGAGGAGGAGAAAGGAACACTTGGCAAGTTGGCCTGTGGGCTTTTTGTTGCATGAAAGAAACCTGGTGTCTCGTCTTTGGTGAAAGTCTCCAGCTCCATTTGGAAGAACACAAAGAAACAGGACCTTGTAATGCAGGGTTAAGAGGCCCATGATCAAGAATCAAGGTAGAAAAATACTCCCAGAAGTTGGCATGGTGGAGGTGAAAGCAAACTCTGCTGCTTTGTTTACAATTCTCTGGGAGTCACATGACTTTCATACGAAGCAGGGCCCTAGTTTAACCCAGTCCTCTCTAGAGAGCCAGCATCTGCAATCCTAGAGCCCGGTGTGAATACAGGCTCCTCAGCTTATTAGTGATGCGATCCTGGGCTAGTCATTTAACCTCACTCCATCTGTTTCCTCATCTGTGAAGTGGAGTTAATAAGAAAAGATACCATCTTTGTGAGACAATGCATGGAAAAGGCTTTTACATAGTAAATACTCATGTATTCACTATTAATATTTTTCTCAACCTCCCCGTCAAATTCCTTTGCCTCTCCTGCCCCGCCTACTGCCTCTTTTGTACCTATTTTATTCTTGAAGCACAGAGAACTTCTTAGCGTCTCCTGCTATCTTCCTCATGATTCTCTTAACATACACAGGGACACACACACACACACGAACACACACACACGCACGCACATGTGAAGAAAGAAGACGTTGGTCTCGGGCTGCAGGGTCTCTGCCTTCACACATACTATTTCCTTGCCTGGAAAGCCCTTTCCTGTTTCCAAATGCCTTCAAAACACTGCTTAGACTCCATCCCGTGTGAGCTTTCCTTGAGGCTCGATTTCCTCACAAACGATCCTCTCCCCCAACACAACAGAGCTCCCCAGTCCTGTCGCTGTGCTCTTTGTCTGGCCTGTAACAACACATGTCTATCATCGTGCAACCCATTCTGCGTATTGACCTGTGCCTGCGTCTGTCTCCTCCACCAGATGGTGAGAAACCTGAGGGCAAACTCTGCCCTCCACTCTGTGCCCTGGATTCTCTGCATATTGTCTGAACTATAATAAGTGCTCATGGAACATTTACTAAATTGAACTGAATTTAGGTCAGTGGAACAACTGAGAAGAGAATGGTTTTGATTAAAACATTTATACAGTATTTTAAGGTTAACCAAAAGCCTTTTCATTGACTGCCTCATTTAATTCTCACAACAATCCTCTGAAATCAGAAGGGCTTGAGGTATTATTGTCATTTTCAGAGATGTGGGAACTGAGGTTCCTAGTGTAAACGCTGTGTGAACGGCCATTCCACTTGTAAATTGTGTAGAGGTAGGACTAGAATTAAGGTCTGTCTGTTTCTAAGGCGTTTCCCTCCACTGAGATTCACTGACCCAAATAGCAATCAGGGCACACACCTCTGTCTCTTCCATAGCACTTGGTCCATTCTTCTAGCAGACCCTGCACCATGTTGTATATCTTCATATGTTTCTCCCCCAGTAGGTCACTAGTTCTTGATCTGCAGTGCCCTGCAATGTGCAAGAAAGATGAAATTCACATTGATGAATAAGGATGAGATACACAAGATGAGCTGTGAGTTGTGCACAATTCCCCCGGCACCAGGTGAAATTCCAACTATTTTCCTTCATTTAAAAATTATAAGTGAATGCATTCCAAACGAATATTATTACAGGGATACATTTGATTCCTCCAAATTTAAATTATAAGCTACATAAAATAATATTTCTTCTAATTTTGTTAATAACAAATGATTTGCCATTCGCCTTACGATGATTCATATCATATCACTGTATCATCAAACTGCAGTTGAGAACTGCTGAACTTTCATACATATTGAAAGAGCCCAGAACTGTCTAGATGGTTGGGGATAAATGTTGAAAAAAGATGGACAGCGGTTTCTATCCTTGATAAGAAAAATGGTCATAGACCTCTGTGTGGAAAGCCCCATGTAATGCTATGCCAGAGATTACTGAGATACAGAAAAATATGAGCCTCTATCGATAATTTTAAAATATAAAAATAAGAAGTTATATTCTATTCATATCTACCAATGATCAGTCTTTCTCTCTTCCTCCCTCCCTCCCTACCCCCCGCCTTCCCTCCCTCTCCCTTTCTGTCCACTTGTCAGATGACCATATGTCACACAAAGTAGGTTGGGTCTCTTGAGAGGGAAAATGGAATTCCACAATGTCACGGGACAGACAGTGGCACCACACTCGTTTTTACCCTTCCCGTGGATGGTAATGCATGACAGTTCATGAGTACCTGGTTATATGGATTTTCAGATTATATTACCCAGTTTTAAATAAATAAACACTGACACAACTGACAAGTGGCTTTAAAAGATTCCTTCAAGGAAAGCATGGATAGAAAGTAATAGTAATAAGGTAAATGCAAGCAACATTAAAAAACACAACTGACTCCTCTATTCCTTGTGTAATGGAGTTAAATATAATCATATAGAGTTAAATATAATCATAATTAAAAACAGATATAACAAAAATACTCCATAAGATTGAAATTCTTAAGATGACTTGAAATATGGATTTATATCAACTGTCATTTAAAATGCACTATTCAGAGGTTGGGAGGTGAGGAAAATGGGAGATATTGGTCAGAGCGTACAAATTTCCAGTCATAAGATTAACAAGTTCTGGGGATCTATTGTACAGCATGGTGGTTATAGCTAATAATACTGTATTATATACTTAAACGTTGCTAAGAGAGTAAATGTTCTCGCCACAAAAAAAGAAATGGTAATTATGTGACAAGATGGAAGTGTTAGCTAATGCTATGGTGGTAATCATTTTGCAATATATAAATGTATCAGATTAGCACATTGTACACCTTAAACTTACATAATATTATATGTCAATTATACCTCAATAAAGCTGGGAGGAAAAAGAAAAAAGTGCACTATTAATAAAGTAACATAATTATTTCTTGAAATATCATTTTATTTTTAATATTTTCCTTAGAGCTCTACGTTTGCATATATTTCATAATGTATGTAATATGTTAGCAAAGTATTACTTGTATATAATTTATAAATAAATAAATATACCTATATCGAGATTTTAAGTTTGATATTTTCCCCCACGATAGAGAATTAAACACATCTGAAGACCACAGGTATAAGGAATGAGAAGCAATTAGCCATGTGACAAATAGGGAAATAAACAATCCAGGTAGATGGAATAGTATCTGTAAAAGTCCTGTTGGGAGAACTGAGTGAAGGCCAGTGTAGCTGGAGTATAAACAGTGGAGAGGAAAAAGCGATGCGAGATGTGGTTAGAAAGAAGGGCAAGGGCAAGGTCACGAAGGACCTTGGAGACTGTG